TCCTTCGAGCCGGATCCGAAAAGCCGGAATCGAAAAATATGAAACATTTAAGACATCAGAATTCTTTAATGATATGAGCCATCTGCAAGTGGAATGGCATTTCAACGCTCCCCTATGGCCAACAGCTGGAGGTCTGTGGGAGGCTGCCGTAAAAGCAATGAAATACCATTTAAATCGTGTGCTGGGCGAACAGAAGCTCACTTTTGAGCAATTTACCACGCTCCTAACTCAAATAGAAGCATGCCTAAACTCACGTCCGTTGTGCCCATTAACAGAAGATATAGAAGATCTCGAATACTTAACTCCTGGGCACTTCCTTACTGGTGGGTCCCTACTGGCCCCACCACAAGAGGAACACGACTGCGTCGAGCACGATTTAAGAAATAGATGGAGACTTGTCGAACAACTAAACATACAAATCTGGAAGCGTTGGTCGAATGAATATCTGCATCAACTGCAAGTTAGAAGCAAATGGCAGCAATCTCAAGAAAATCTAAACGAAGGAAGCCTAGTACTCGTAAAAGATGAACACCTTCCTCCGGGACGATGGGCTCTTGGAAGGGTTACTGAGATTCACCCGGGAACAGACGGAAGAGTTCGAGTGGTTACCTTAAAAACTAAGAAAGGCTCCGTAAAACGACCCATAACCAAACTGGCACCGTTACCATTGCGAACTACTGAGGGGGATCAAGTCAAGAAACAGCCTTCTAGTCCGGAACCAAAAAAACGAGGTCCAACAGGAGTCAATAAGAATACTCTATCTCTCATTCTTATGTCTATATTAGCCATGACAGCGTTAACGCAATCCACGCCCATAACAAATAATTTGCAAGTGACACCAATTGTAAACAATCATCCCGTTTACTTTGATGAAGCTGGCAAATTAAAACTGATTCATGACGAATGGACACTGCTCATCTACTATAACCTAACTTCATACTGGCAAGCCACCGACAAGATCAGCGCATACATCGACCAAATCGATACCTTATGCCACAGGATCTCACACGAGTATCAACCTTGCGAAACAGTCGTCAGCCATTTACGTCATGAACTGGAACACCTTGAAGAATACAATTCAATTCTAGTGTCGCAACATTCCAGACAAAGACGTGGCTACTTTGATGGTATTGGCAAGTTATCGAGGACGCTATTTGGGACCCTTGATGTGGACTTTGCAAACAAATACGAAAAGGATATAGAAAACATGCAATTAAACGATAATTATTTATTACAACTAATGAAGAACCAAACTTTGGTCATAGAAGCAGAAAACAATGTTGTTAAAAGAAACGCTGAGTTCATGGAAAAACAACTTCAAGCCATTAAAACATACATGAATAGATCAAGCAATGTCATCACAAAAATTGAGAACCGCGCGCAAATGTTGTACACAATAAATGATATTAACTCTGCTGCGGTGACATCAACTTTAATTTTTGAGGAACTGAATAGAATTCTAGAAATGCTAATGAACGCCTTAAGTAACATCAACAAAGGTCATTTAGACACACACCTGTTTCCAGCATCCCAACTCATCGAACAACTAAATATCATATCGGGAAGATTACCCCAAGGACTGTCGTTGCCTGTAAAAGATATTCAAAAGGATTTCCTAAACATCTACGATCTAATTCACGTCAAGGCTCGAATAACAAACAACTTTTTTCTATTTGAAATTCATATTCCGTTATTAAGTGACGAAGATTATAGAATATATCGAGTCATACCGATACCATTCTTACAACAAGGGCGCTTAAAACTTTTACAACCTGGCTCCAACTTCATTGCTATCAACTTAGTGAAGAACTCCTACATAACTATGGAAGAGCAAGACATACGTCAATGTACTGCTTACGGAGAAGATGAATATATCTGCATATCTCACCAACCAATCTACAGCTTTCACGATGAGGCTGCGCCTTGTGAAGTTAAGGTGTTCAGCCAACAGACGTCATTATCATGCGTTATCCATGACGTAACCTGCAAAGAAACCTGGACCAAGTTACATAAACCCAACTTGTGGCTGTTTACGTTGTGCGACAAACAGCTGATGCGCGCCATATGTAGCGATCAAATTACACCGGCGGTCATTGACGGAACTGGAATAATTGCATTACAACCTAAGTGCATACTACAGAAAAAGGATGCCACGATAGTTACCTACAATCACTTAGGTAGCAATGTTTATATGAAACCGGATATTGAAGTACCGACGATAAACTCCACAATAAACCATATATTCGATCTCGGATGGAAAAACGCACAACTAAACATAATGGAACATGACACGGAGACAGCAAATGAGGTGGTAAGACTCAACCAACAGCTGGAAGACATAAAGCACCAGGAAGTATTACCGAAAACATCTGACCTCTCGAGTCACGATATATATCATTATTCAATAACTTCACTGCTGTTGGGAGGACTGGCAATACTTGCCATATTATATTTCTTGCGAAAACGATGCCGTAAGATAACTACGGCTACGAAGAATATTGTGCAACGAAGAGGAAAGGACAACATTGCCGTTGGAGAAGAAATCGACCTGCAAGAAGTACGCAACCCGAGATCAGCGACACCAGTTCGCAGCGGACAAGGACCGCAGAAGAAGATATTCAACTTCGAGGAACTCGTTTAATAATTATACTTTTATTTACACTTGTTTTACTATTATTAGTTTGCATATTACTTAATTTGTTTTATACTTTTATACTTTGCTTTGTAAGGGATGCTCATCGTACTTTTTTCCCTCGGGAGCATGTACGGTTTACGTACAGGCATTTATTTTGCTAACGTCGCGCGACCTACTTTCGCGAGTCGATTTAATTAATATTGTAATATTTAGCGTTCAGTTGATTATAACTATAGCCACGATTAGCATCCCACATAACTAGTGTAACTTACACAATAAACTATTGAACGGGAAAACTGTGGTCTCTTTCAACTCAAAACAAACTAACGACGCCTGAGGTCCATACAAGCTTTGATGTATCAACTGCTACGGATTATCCATTGTGAAAAGTTACAAAACATATTGAACGTCCAGTCTCCAATCAACCAGCACTATGTAAAGAGACCAATGAGTGACCTGCAAGCGATGAGGAAAGGCAGCTGCATTTGTCTCACATCTGAGGAACGTATTCGTGAACAGTACGTATTAGTAAACCAATACAGGTTTCATCAAAATGTAAGATGTAAGTATTCTGTTAAACCAACTTGAACCCCCCCCCCCCTTGATAATTTAACGAGAGAAGAGATAAAACTAGCTAGAAAAGCGTTAAAACTGGCAAGGCCTCTGGTTTTTTTTTTAAGGGGGGAAAATCATCGAATGACTAAAAACCACCCCGTTCCTTCTCCTGCACGTCGAGCCGGAGCCCCGGTTACCCGTTAGATTCTCCGCGACTCCGAATCGGCATCGGCCCTATTGGGCCCCATCTGTGGTGGTCTGATGGCTCTTTGAGGCGCGCGCGGAACGCGACGCGCCGTACGCTCGGGTCTGTTTCTGGTCGGACGGGGAGCCACCCATGCTCGCCGTCCGCAGGCCCGCGCTTACGGTGGCCGGAGATCGTCTCGCGATCCCCGACGCCCGATGTGTCCTTCGCCATGGCTGGGTTGCGAGGAGGCAGCGCTTCGCTGCCTCACGAGTCCCGCCTCCTCCTTAGCTAGCATGACTGCTTCGCAAAAGAAGGAGACGGCATTCCAGTCCCCCTCGCTCCGCATCATGGCCTGCACTAGGCCTGGACGCGAGAGGTCGCCATTGCCGATCACTTCCCTGAGGGCACGGCGGTGCTCAGCCCACGCAGGGCATTCCGCTACAGTGTGTTCCACCGTGTCCTCAGGGCGGTCCTCGCAGTGATGACACCCGGGCGCCTCTTTCCTCCCGCCCCATCAGACACAGGTACCTCCCGAAACTTCCATGTCCGGTGAGGACCTGCGTCAGGCGGTAGGTGAGGACGCCGTAGCGTCTCTCAAGCCACTCCTCAAGGGGTCTTACCGCTGCAATGGCAGCGAGCCCAGTCCTCGGTTGCGACAGTCGTTGCTGCCATTCCGCCATGAGATCGCGCCGGAGCTCAAACCGCCACGCACTTATCTGGCGCTGCAGCGCCAGATAAGTGCGTGGCGACGTGCGTCCGCGCGCATGCGATACACGCGCGCGAGCACCTTCGCCTCCAGATCCCACGGCGGTAATCCGGCAAAGAGGTTCGCCGACTCCCCGGAGATCGTGCGGTATCCGCGGATCATTCGGATCGCCATGACCCTCTGTGACATGAGCAGCGTCCGAGCGGGACGCTCCTTCCTTAATAATCACTATATGTATTAAAAGAAACTATATCAAAATCCGTTACGTAGTTTTAAAGATCTAAGCATACATAGGGACAGTCAGACGGCGAATAGCGACTTTATTTTATACTATGTAGTGATGCACATTGGTATTTCATCATGACCTCGACATAAACACCGTTCAAGAGGAAACCGTATAGAGGACTCAGACCAACAAAGACAGAATTACTGCGCACCCAAACCCACGGGCTGTAAACCTAATGAATCCACTGACAGCACCCGCAGTACCCAGAAGGCTAAATAAGCAACGACCACAAGACATAATATGACAGACTAGGGGACTCGTAGTAAGACCATCTCCGTGCAAGACGTGACCTGACATGCATTTACATTTGCTGAATATCTAGGATGGTAGATTGCAATAAATTTAGGAAAAAAGAAAAAAAATAATTATGGAGCGATTTATCTAAGTATTGAATTTTTATGTTCGTTATTATAATTTTTATATTTTGGAGCCGTAACACGAGAGTAAAGTTGCGGCACGCGCCCCAAGTGGTAGTAAAACTGTTGAAGACGCTGATCTCAGGAACAACTGCTTCGATTGGAAATAATCTTTTTGTGCTGTATCCAGCACATGTAGTTCATGTATCGCGACAGAGGGGACGCAATAAGTTTGCCAGTGAAGTGTACCCGACTAGTAGCGCGCGTGTCCGCAGAGCTGGACTACAAGCTGCTGGTGTCGGGCGAGGCGGCGCTGGCGGAGCACGTGGTGGGCGTGCTGCGGCCCGACAACGTGGCGCTGCTCAGCAAGCTGCTGCGCACGCTGCCGCCCGCGCTGGCAGCGCCGCTGTCGCTGCCCGCCATCTACGCCAAGTGGCTCACCAGGCACTTCTTCAGCGTGAGTAGGGCCCCCGCCGCCCCGCCGCCGCGCTCCGAGCGGGGCCTGCCCACTGAGACCTGTACGTACTGCAGGTGCCGAGTAACGCGCCGAGCAAGAAGTGGATGCAGCAGTACCGGCAGTGCGCGAGCTACTTCAACAAGCTCGCCAAGCACGAGCTCGTGCAGTTCGTGGAGGACACCTGCTTCAGCGACGAGGCCATCCAGCGGTACGTCACACACACACACACACACACACACACACACACACACACACACACACACACACTTCACGTTTGTTATAGTCATCATGTGATGTGTGATGTTCTTTGTAGCGTTCCAGCCGGGACCCGCAACCTGATGATAATGCAAGCCGTGGACTACTGCCAGCAGGAACAGGAAAACGATTTCAAGTTCAACAAGAAGTAAGTCATCTTAGCTCGCTTGGTAAGGACGACGTCAATGTACAGACAACCGCATGACAGAGTTACTGCGTAGTCCGGGTTCCATACTACACTGGCAAACTCCAGGTGACTACGAACTAAGGACAGGACTATTTTTGTTCTCACCAGCTTAAATCCTCTAGTACTTCTCTTAAGAAATCCCAGTAGCCGTGCTGATTTCGTAACAATGTGATCAATATGACTCCTGAAGTTAACTTTACTGTCCATAATGATACCCAGATCACGAACCCCACTAACAGATTCCAATAAAGCTCCTCTTATATTATATGCAATAGTATTAGTTTGTCTCTTCCTACTAAAACGTATATGACTACATTTCTGTACATTAAGTTAAGGTTAGGTTTATTTTTTTTTCACGACCTTAAGATTATGGGCTTGGTTAGGTTAAGAATAACCCATGTACTTATAAGTTTCTGTTTCTATTTAGTTTAGTGATCGAAAATATCCTTTTTTATCTAAACAAAAAAAAATACTTTGTACCAATAAACATATACATACATATTGATACAATAAAAATGCGTGTTGTTTTTTTATTGTTAGATGTCATTAAAAAAAACATGTGTTTGTTTGAAAAACAAATCGGGTTTATAAATGTGACCGAATACTTTTAATTTTCATACCCTGTGTGTCCCTATTATTGTTTATTATTTATTTTCTGCAACAAACATCCAAATAGGTCCTTTGATAATTATTGATAGAAAGCGTGAAAAGCGACAGGTATACAGTTGCTTTCGCATTTACAATAACAGTAACATGGATGCATAGCGTATATAATGGAAGCCACAGGGGTCCCGCTTGCAGCGAGCAGTCGTGGGCCGCGGGGCAGGAGCAGTCGTGGGCGGGCGTCGGGCAGGAGCTGGCGCGCTGGGCACGCTTCCTCGACATCCTGCACTCCGACACCGTGCAGCACTTGCTGCGCTCCGCGGCGCTGCCCGCGCTCCACGTCTGGCCGTGAGTACTGCCACCCTACGGCCATACAACTACTCACACTTGCTGCGCTCCGCGGCGCTGCCCGCGCTCCACGTCTGGCCGTGAGTACTGCCACCCTACGGCCATACAACTACTCACACTTGCTGCGCTCCGCGGCGCTGCCCGCGCTCCACGTCTGGCCGTGAGTACTGCCACCCTACGGCCATACAACTACTCACACTTGCTGCGCTCCGCGGCGCTGCCCGCGCTCCACGTCTGGCCGTGAGTACTGCCACCCTACGCCATACAACTACTCACACTTGCTGCGCTCCGCGGCGCTGCCCGCGCTCCACGTCTGGCCGTGAGTACTGCCACCCTACGGCCATACAACTACTCACACTTGCTGCGCTCCGCGGCGCTGCCCGCGCTCCACGTCTGGCCGTGAGTACTGCCACCCTACGGCCATACAACTACTCACACTTGCTGCGCTCCGCGGCGCTGCCCGCGCTCCACGTCTGGCCGTGAGTACTGCCACCCTACGCCCATACAACTACTCACACTTGCTGCGCTCCGCGGCGCTGCCCGCGCTCCACGTCTGGCCGTGAGTACTGCCACCCTACGGCCATACAACTACTCACACTTGCTGCGCTCCGCGGCGCTGCCCGCGCTCCACGTCTGGCCGTGAGTACTGCCACCCTACGGCCATACAACTACTCACACTTGCTGCGCTCCGCGGCGCTGCCCGCGCTCCACGTCTGGCCGTGAGTACTGCCACCCTACGGCCATACAACTACTCACACTTGCTGCGCTCCGCGGCGCTGCCCGCGCTCCACGTCTGGCCGTGAGTACTGCCACCCTACGGCCATACAACTACTCACACTTGCTGCGCTCCGCGGCGCTGCCCGCGCTCCACGTCTGGCCGTGAGTACTGCCACCCTACGCCCATACAACTACTCACACTTGCTGCGCTCCGCGGCGCTGCCCGCGCTCCACGTCTGGCCGTGAGTACTGCCACCCTACGCCCATACAACTACTCACACTTGCTGCGCTCCGCGGCGCTGCCCGCGCTCCACGTCTGGCCGTGAGTACTGCCACCCTACGGCCATACAACTACTCACACTTGCTGCGCTCCGCGGCGCTGCCCGCGCTCCACGTCTGGCCGTGAGTACTGCCACCCTACGCCCATACAACTACTCACACTTGCTGCGCTCCGCGGCGCTGCCCGCGCTCCACGTCTGGCCGTGAGTACTGCCACCCTACGCCCATACAACTACTCACACTTGCTGCGCTCCGCGGCGCTGCCCGCGCTCCACGTCTGGCCGTGAGTACTGCCACCCTACGGCCATACAACTACTCACACTTGCCATTTTCAAATGCAACGGTAACGTTACGATCCCGTTACAAAACCACAAGCTGTGCAGCATGCTCGTCTTCGACACAGGCTGACGTAAAGGTGTATATTTGTACGCTTACAGAGAAGTGGAAAAGAGCCACGGCGACCCGGAGCGGCTGGTAGACTGCCTGGCGCGCGGGCTGCTGCAGGCCGAGCTCCGCGCGGGCGTGCTGGCGCGCCTGCTGCAGGTCCTGCACGTGCCGGCGCGGCCCGACCAGCTCCTGCAGCACGCCGCGCGCCACTGCCGCTCCGCCAGGTACAGCTGGCCGACCTACGTGCCATCATAGTGTTTAATGAATTATATGTTTTGCTCATCTTGTCATGTCTTGATAGAGCGTCACCATATAACAGCAACAACAATGAGGTTGCAAAACTTCCTGCATGTGTACTACACGCTTGTGGGTTACACGGACCAAAAGTGGTACCAGCTACGACAAATTCTCCCATCAAATATATATCTCCCATAAATATTTCAGTACATGTACCGGACCATTTAGAAATAATGTAAAAAAAATTGTAACAATCTCTTTGAATTCGATTTTAAAGGTTATTTTTATTGAACAATGCGTTGATATTAATATTTTGTCATATAAGTAATTTATTTCACGTATGAAACAATAATTAAATATGAAACAACAACACACTGGAAGCAAAATACAGCAACGACAACCATGACTACAATCAACTAGAGACATTTATTTCAAAACAGATAGAAAAGAACAGAGTAGATAAGATTAAAATTCTAAACCCCCCCCCCCCAACAAGACTGGATTAATCAGAACATTATAAATGCATAATAACTGTCAAACACCAAGCGGTCACCGGTGACCGCGACCTATTGTTCTTTAATTGTGTCTATAAAACCGGTACTCGACGAGTTAACCGTCATTTATAATTTTAGCACAATTTCAAATGTTTCACGTAGTAACACCTGGGTGCCACGATTGGTACTACTTGACGGGAAAGTACATTGCAATGAACAGTTCACTGCAAATTTTTGGACCGCTTTTCGTGAACTGACACTCCATCTAGACATTATATAATCGAAGGTAATAACGTTGTTATACCGTGACATGGTTACAGCGACGTGGAGATTCTAGTGTCCCGTATGACGGCGTACAGTAAAGAAGGGGTGAAGCTCCCCGAGGAACTGTTAGAGACAGTGATGCAGAAAGCTTCAGAATTTGCGTTGCCTCCCCACAAGCAGATTGGTCTGCTGTCTCTGAGCCAGAAGACGAGGGTCCATGATAGTGACGATATGCTCAAGATCGCACAGTACACTATGGAGTTACTCCGCACTGAGTGGCCAGACTCTGACTACACCGAGAAATTGACTGGTGAGTTGTATTACCTATTTTATTTTCTAGCACAGGCTATTAACTCGTTGAGTACCGTATTTATAGACACAATTAAAGAACAATAGGTTGCGGTCACCGGCGACCGCTCGGTGTTTGACAGTTTAAATCAGTGAACTTGTGATGGGATTTGAACGATTTTCGTATTAAGTCGAAGGTCTATTGAAGACGAAGTTTTGAATACATTTCCTAGACCTGGGGCTGGGGCTGCGAAATGTATGTAGTTAATACTTTGTCAAAACTTTTTTCGCTTTAAGTAAAGAGTTGTCTATTCTCGTAACATGTTATAGAATAAACAACTTATTCCTATTATTAATTAAACTGTTAAACACCGCGAGGACACCGGTGACCGCAACCTATTGTTCTTTAATTGTGTCTATAATGACGGTACACAAAGAGTTAAAGTGCTGGCAATAGTATTGCAACTGAAGTATACTGTATAACGCATGACACGTGTAAATTGTTCTCGCAGATGAGATGTTACTCAGCGAGGAAGGTCGTCGGGATGCTTTCAGCAAGTACCTGTCGCTGGCGGACTCCTGGCAGCGCAAGAAGGCGCTGGTAGACATACTGCAGTGCTGGCCGCCTACTAGAAACAGGTCGCGTAGTAGCACGGAGGGTGCCTTACTGGCTCACTCGTCACTTACTTACATATTTATGTTGCTCCTTGTTGTCTGATTGTAAACTATAATGCTACAACATTTGTTACTGTTTTGCAGTGATTCGAGGAGCCTGCATTGTGAATACGTGCACCATCTCCTCGCCGACAAATCAGATCAAACGGAGAACTTAATGCTCATCAAGTTACTATTGCAGCGTCCTGTACTTGCTGAAGAGGTACTTCATGCATTACTTTATATTTTGAACCTTTTCCCAGAAACGATAAGATTATAAATTGAATTAAATTTTTTGTTTTATGGTCTGATTTCAGGAGGTGAATTGGCTCGCTGACAATGTGGCCCCTGAATCTGTAATCAATGCTATTTGGGTTCTACTCCTCAGCAAATCAGAACATTTCAAGGATAACATCTTGAACTTAGCTCTTCAGCATAAGGTAAAAGCAAATTCGTTTCGACTGAGATTCTCCCTCGAAACTCTGCTTACTACATGTATTGAATGTTTGTATTTTCAGATTTTTCTCCAAAACCATGAAGTAGACGAAGACTTGTTAAAAGAACTCTTAGATAATGGCATGTTCATAAAACTGGTATCGTGTCCGCTGTACTCGTCGTTCATAAATTACATAATGTCGAAGCAGGCGGCGGGCGGCGAGGCCGCGGCGTACAGCGCGCAGTGGGCGGCGGGCGAGCTGGCCCGGGCCGGCCTGGCGGCCGAGGCCGGCCAGCTGCGCCTGGCCGCCGCCGGCCTGCCCGCCGCGCTGCGGGGCTTCTCGCAGGCCGTGGCGGCCGGGATGGCGGAATCCGCCCGAGCCTTTGCTTATTGCAAAGATGTCTTAGATGATTAAACATTCTATTTATTCTGATCTATGTCTATGTTATAAATGTGTCATTAATAACTTATGGCTACAAGAGTTGCTGGTATTATTTTATCTATCTTTACGTTCGCTTTGGGATCCCCGAAGTAACTCCCCAAATAAGGGATTGTATTAAATATTTAGGATTTTTTGTTCTAATTTTAATCGACTCATTTGACTTCGGCCATTTTCTATAACCTACCTGACATAAGCTCCATAAAAAACGTGTCAAAATTCTATCTCGGTAAGCAATTCTACAGATAGATAGGTTATAGAAAATGCCCGTTAAGCGACTACTCAGACAAGAAAACTGTACATTTGTAACGACTGAACGATTTGAGTAGTTATTGGCTGTGCCACCAAAGAGTATAGTAAGTATTGTGCCACTGACCGCTGTGCAACGTGCCGCCAGTTCAAGTCTCGTTTGAAGAATTTTTTTCATCATTCATTTTTTTTTTCAATTCATTTCATCGGAAATCTATACATTGTATCATATACATTTATACGTGTGGATCGCCACAAATTTTATTTCCGATTGTATGTACATATACTTAAGTTTAAAAAATGTTTTCTTTTCATCCTATACGGCGGAACCTGTAACGCCATTATGCTGGCATGTGTGGCATCCATGCTTACTATTTTGTGACATTACTAATTGACAAATCAACAACTTCGTGGTACCTATTACCACGGAATATAGAATACAATGGAAGTAGCAAGTAGGCGTGGCACGCGTGCCACAACTGAGCCGTGTACTGCGTACTCGAGGCAAATTCGAGTTCAGTCTCATTCGAATATGGCGTCGAGTTTCTAGTCTCGTGACAAATACATATTTCCTCAACTATGCCGTTTTGTTCCGTTTTGGCGTGTAAAATTGATAGCAGCCGAAAAATCGTAAAAATAGAGGTGTTTCGTATCATCGGTAAGTACAATTTTCATTGTTTTCTTGTAGAAATCTTATTTTATTTCAATTTACAAAAACGGTTATTAAAATAATATTATTTACTAAAACGGTTAGTCAAAATCAACCTTACGCCTTCAAGATAAAGTTTATTTTGGATTTATTCCATTCAATAGAACATTCTCGCCAGTTCTACGCTACTCAAATAGTGATGTAGTCAAATCACATATTGAATTTATCGATTGATATCGATGCAAGTGTAATGTAACATTTATTTAGATTATTTTTTTATTATTATTTTAGTGGTGACCCCGACGTGATTGGAAGCAACCTTCCCTTCACGGAGCAGATCAGCACCGTCATCCTTATCGCCATTCCTCTCATTTATCACATTATCCATATAAAGTTTGTAAAAATGTATGTAATATTTGTTATTACATACATATATTGCCTATGTGAAATAAAAAAAAATGTTTTTTTTTTAAAAGAAACTAATAAAAAATACGAACAAAATGATTTTTAATTTACATGCAAATAAATACTTACCCTTTTTTGTTACGTTTAAAAAGTTATCAACGACATATTAATTTTATTATTTTAATACTGTCACACTATCGCAGTCAATATTTTTTTTCACATTATTTTTAAAACACATTTTCATATTATCGATATTATTTTTATCGAATTAGGCTACATCACTATCTGAGTAGAGATCCGCATTCGAGCCAGTGATAAGCCATTCAAATATCACCTTTATTCTTATGACGTTAAAGTTCAAACCAAGTACCACTTTTCGTCGCTAGATGGCATTGTTAAACGCCATCTAGCGACGAATGGCGGTACTTGGTAGTCCAAAATATACTTTTTTATTTTGATTTATAGTGCATTGATTTTAAAGTTGCATATCGTATGATATTTTTTTTGCATTTCGTTTACGCCCATTTTTTTTCTAACCAATCGCAACTTCCGATTTATAGTATGAGTAAATTATAAATGTATTAGTTTGGCGACACCGGTTCTGGCAGAAATATTGTTTCAAGCTACTTCCATTGTATTCTATATGCCGTGCCTATTACCTACCTATTGTATACTCGATTTTTAAATTAATATTGAAACTTAAAGTACGCTGCGTGCAACATGAGCCGCAGTCTCTGTACAGTGCACAATCAGCCAAGCATACAACAAACAGCCAACGGCGACTCCTATAATATTATTATCATACTAGCTGCTGCCCGCGATTTCGTCCGCGGAGAATATGATTCTTGTTTTATATCATGAGAGCATTTAATCGGGATAAAAATCCTATCACAGGCCATACCCTGCCTGTATACCAAGTTTTATTAAAATACGTTCAGTAGTTTTTGCGAGATTGACGGACAAACATCCAAACAAAGAAACTTTCGCATTCTTATTACTAGTGTGATAGTAATGACATGAAGCTAACGAAGCATGGATATGTATCTTAAATTAGTACCATAACATCACGCCTTTTATCTCCAAAGGGGTAGGCAGAGGTGCACATTATGCCACTGTACAATGTAACACCCACTTTTCACTATTTATGTTATGAGTCCCATGTAATAGGGGGTGAGCCTATTGCCATATACCGGGCACAATTCCAGACTCCGTGCTACTACTGAGAATATTTAAAAACCCAGTAATACTTTGCCCGACCCGGGAATCGAACCCGAGACCCCTTGCCCGGCAGTCGCACTTGCGACCACTCGGCCAACGAGGCAGTCAAAATTAGTAAATATTAGTACCAATACTATAAAATAACTAGAATAAAACACGAATTTATGTTAGGAAATTTTTACTACTATTTTATTTTGTGAATAGGACAACACAGCGATACCGTTATATCGCCTAGCGTATTTCGCTAGAATTACCCCGAGGCGAACGATGCGATGTCCACCTCGAGTTGTTGAGGCGCGGCGGACAGAACTCCGTCGTGACATTATAGAAGATAAGAAGAATGGGAAACACGACATGCGCAACCCAGTGCAGGGCACGCCATTATAGCGGCGGTCAGCCCCGTCATGGAGGCGTGGATCGGCAAGGACATGGTGTCCTAAGCTTCCGGCTGACGCAAGTGCTGTCTGGACATGACTGCTTTAGAAAGTACTTATTTCGCATAAGACGGGAGCAGACGTCGGCGTGTCATCACTGCAATGACAATTTGGAGGATAGCGCAGGGCATACGCTCGAAGAGTGTAGATACCACATGGGCAGAGCTGCATCGTGAACTCGTAGCAGTGCTCGCCGGGAATGATCTCTCATTGCCGACCGTAGTGCGAGCTATGGTCGATAGTGAGAGTGCATGGGACGGTGCGAACGCGTCATGTTGGCAAAGGAGACAGTTGAAAGGGAGAGGGAGGCTTCCACTTACCTGCTCTCCCGCCGCACAGACAGGTATTTGGCCCTAAAAGCTGGCCAAAATTGATTTTTTTTATATTTGTTCTACTCCCTCTAAGCCATTGTTTCCAAAAATAAGGATAACTACTCCAAACAATAGCAAAAAACACAAAGCGCTAGCCCCTTCCAGTACGTCGTGGGCTCAGTCGGAAGTTACCGTTCGCCAAAAGTGTTCGTGTGATTGTACGATGCGCTCAGATTTCGTTGTTTTGAAATATTTGCTTGTGACTGAACGATTTTGCGTTGGTTTTCATTATGGATTGTACACAACTAGGTATGTATTTTATTTGGCACTTACTTTTAACAAGTAATCTATAGCTTTTCTTTATTTATACCCTTGAGAAGTAAGCCCTAAGAAACTGCTTTTAAAAAACACATTTTGGAAGATCAAAAGGAGTTTTAATATATTTCTCATCATTTCTAAGCCAAAATTGTAATGATTAGCTTTAGAATAGACCTTTTAGGATGTAATTAAGTACGAAATAGCTGCCTCAACGTGCCCCTCTATTTTTGGTGATTTTTTTCCCTAGACACGCTCGATACTCAGTAATTGAAGTTTTAATTATATTTGGTGTATTTTTGTTATAGGCTCTTCTGGAATGAGAGTCATGACTCGAAATGATTTATTTAATATAATGGAACGTTCAAATACCTATCTAGCTATCCTGAAATCTACAGAGTAACTGAAACGTGCGCTGAAGTACAGGTTCAAAATCTCATGGATCACACGGCACAACGACTGATTTTACATCTTGGTGAGGCAGTGGAACAATTGAGTGAAGCAGAAAAACAATCATTAGTATTAATAAGTAAATGGAGCTGCGACGGATCTCAACAGATGCAGTATAAAATGAAATTTGAAAATGAAACCGATTCGGACGCAAACATATTCCAAAGTTCTATGGTACCGCTTCAGTAGATTTACGGACCGGAAAGAAAAATACTGTGGCAAAATCTTACTCCATCTTCACCACGGTATTGTTGGCCTATAAGAATAAGATTCATAAAAGAAACTACAGATGTGACAAATGAAGAGATTGACTATATTAAATCGCAAATAACAGCGCTCACTAAAAGCGAAGTCAACAGCTTTTCCATTAAGCATAAAATACTTTTCACAATGATTGATGGAAAAGTATGCAATCAACCATGAGGTGCTATATATGCGGCGCCACGTCATTACAGTTTAATAATTTAGAGAAGGAGAGACCATGCAAAAAAGAAAACCTAGAATTCGGCTTATCTTTGTTGCATGCTCGGATAAGATTTTTTGAGAGTATTTTACATGTGGCCTATAAATTGCCCGTAAAAAATGGAACGTTCGCCTTACTGCCGAGGAAAAGCAAGCAGTGGAAAATAAAAAAAAGAAATCCAAGATAAGTTCCGGGGGAAACTCGGTCTGTTGGTGGATATACCAAAAGCCAACTTTGGAAATATCAATGACGGAAACACTAACAGACGTTTTTTTGAAAATTTCGAAGTATCAGCGACAATTACGGGGATAGACGTACATTTAATTTATAGATTAAAAGTGATTTTGGACACATTGTGCTGTGGTTTAAAAATAAACTGCGAGATGTTTGAAAGCTATTGCCAAGAAACGGCAAAGTTGTACGTTTCTTTGTATAAGTTTTACCCAATGTCTCCGACATTGCATAAAGTGTTGCGTCATGGAGCTTCAGTGGTAAGGGCAGCAATTTTTTCCATTGAACAACTGTCCGAAGAAGCGGCAGAAGCCAGCAACAAACACATGTTCCGGCTCAACTACGCCCGAAAATTTTCCCGGGTAGCCTGCGACGCAGATGTTTCTAACAGGCTCCTCTTAACTTCCGACCCTGTCCGGAAGGGCATGAGGAAGAGGAAGAATAAAAAAAATCTGTTACTAATTCGGCTGATGTTTTAAATTTGTTACTAGAAAGTGACGTTTTAAATTTAAGTTTTAATGAAGACGACGAAAATGAAGAATAAATGCTTGTATATGTTACATACGCTTTTTTTTACCTTTTCCAAGCTAAAATTAAAATAAAACATCGTTTGACAGCCATTAGGCGTACCCAATATTTTTGGCCAACTTTTAGGACCAAATACCTGTCTGTGCGCCTTAGACGTGCCGCCCGGCAACGCCACGATGTGGTAGCCGATCTGCGACCTCCATAGTAGAGGTCTGCGAGCGACTGACTAGGGGCTGGGAAGTAATTCGTCCGTTGCATGGGGGGGAGTAGGCGTTAGCGTTGTGCTCCACGCGCGCCACTCGAGGAAAGAAATCAGCCTACAAGGTTTGCTTCATGGTGGGACCTGCCGCAATATAGTGGTAGGTCGCGGCCTGCCAGGTGCGGTGATTCCGCAAGGGCGTTCCACAGGCAAAAGAGGAACAAACTAGCTGGTAAGAGTCCGGCACACCCCCCGTCGTCGGATTCTCATCGCGTTATAAAGAAAAAAAGAAAATCGCTAATATTAATTATGAAAAAAAGTTAACCCTTTTTTAACATCCTCGGTTTTACAACTATTTTTGGTGTAAGAAACAAGAACTACATTTGACATACAAAGCTTCGTAAAATGAAACTTCAATGTCAGAAATGTCAGTCAGTGGCAGTGACAAATATTTTAAGAATTTTAGGTTATGTTGCAGAGATTGAATGTTATTTGTTATAAGAAACAATCCGCTTTTATAGTACTTATAGTGGACAATATAATATAAAAAGGATGCTTAACGTTGTTAGAAATACTCTACGGAATCCTGTAGCGGGTATGGCGCGTTTATTTCAGACATCAGTCCCCCAAGCTTCAGAAAAGTTTGACCACAAAAGAATACCTAAAGAAGACGAAGGTGTCCAAGGAGAGAAAGTTGTCGATCTAGACTCGGTGCTGAAGATGTGTGTATTTATGAATTTATTTTTGCAATTCAAAGACTATTTTATTTTAAAACTGAATAGATTTTGTGTTGAAAAAACATTTATTTTTATTTAATAACACATTGTTGTCTCTGAGTACGGTCAATACCTAAATGTTGAAGCCTAGCTTCATGTTCTTTTTCACTGCATCCAAAAACAACAATGTCATCAATAAAGTTAACGACTCCTTCACATGGCAATAGCATTCTTATACCTAATTGGCTTGTTTCAGAAAACAAAACTTATTTCCAACTTTAGAATCTGATAATCAAATATTCGGAGGTATATTGTACAAACAGCTTCCCATCTGCAACATCCGTGTCTCCCATAACAACACCATATTTACGATGACTGATGCCAGTGGCACTGTGAAGATCATCAGATCGTGTGGGATGGAAGGCTTTAAGAATACCAAGAAAGGAACCAATATTGCTGCTCAAACTACTGCCATTGCCATAGCTACTGTGAGTTTAACTTTACAAGTTTCAAAGTGCGGTTGCGGGTAGGTTAACTTAAATGTTTTTTTTTTATTCAATAATCGGGGTGATGTTTTCTATTAAGAAAAAACCCTGTAAATAAAAAAAAAAAAAAAAAAGTTTCAAAGTGAAGGGTTCACCACACTTTTCTCACTCTTTTTTCTTTCATATCATTCTTCACACATTCTAATTCTAGACATTTTCTCATAAAAATCATGCTTCTTATCAAGGTTCTGTATGTAAGACTCCATACAAATGTTACATGATAGTGTGCAGTGGCACCGCGGCAGTAGTGCTGCCTGACAGTCCTTCACATAAACCTTTACTCATGTAATAATATCATGATGAATATTTCAATGTTCCAGAAAGCCATCGATAGAGGGTTTAAAACCATCAGAGTAAGAGTGCAAGGATTGGGACCAGGCAGATTGGTAGGAAAAACTTAATTATATCATTCTTCGATAATTATTTATCAATAGTCAGATTTGTTTAATATTAGTTTAATCACAACATGAATGCATTATTTACAGGCAGCTGTAAAAGGTTTACAAATGGGTGGCTTGGATATAGTTTCAATCACAGACAACACCCATGTATCATGGAACCCTCCGCGACCAAGGAAAGCTAGAAGATTGTAATTTAGCCCAATTATTTTATTGTTAAGTAGTTCTACAGTCAGCATGTACAAATAAACAAAACTTGAAACTTGGAACTGTATTTTTATTTACTGTTTGTTATAGAAAGTTTGTTTGTTTATTTTGTTTTTTTTGTTTTTTTTGTTTGTTTGCGAAAGAGGTATGTAAGAATCGTAGTAATTGGCGTTCCTTAGTCTCTGCCTACCCCCATGGGAGACAGGCGTGAAGTTATGTATGTATGTTTGTTATAGATAGTCCTTTGATTGATTGATTATATTATTTTTAATGTCTTCTAAAGAAATTCACTTGATTGGCCTTGTGCTAGAAGCCATATTTGGCTTGTGTTTGTCTTTTCGACATCCTGTTGTTTGCCCATTGGTTCTGTAATTCTGCTTCATTTGCTTTAGCCTGTAAATCGAAAAAAAAAATTGAATTTTAAAATTGGTTTGAATTACACTTCAATAAATTACTAATGTCTATCTAATATAATATTTACATTATTCTTAAAAATACTAAAGTGAATTCTTTAAAACTGTGTATGTTACAACTGGTATAATGCAATTATGTTTACCTGATAAGCCAAATATGTGATTTGGTGCTTCCTCCTCTGTTGGGTGGTGGGCTCGTTTCCTTTCTTCTTGCTAGCAGACACACGTTTAGTAGTGTCGTCCATGAGTCCCTTCATCAACATCTCCCTTGCATCTGCCAACACCTCTGCTTGATTTACATCTACTATCTGAATCTCCTCACGTTTCCGTTTGCCACGTGCACCACACAGCTTCATGATCTAAAAAAGATTTACTATTTGATAGAATATTTTATGTAATAGATTAAACACCCTCTTGTCATTAGCAGTAGAGAATGTGAGCAGCCCCTATTGCTGCTCAAACCCTAGCAACCATGGCCAGATTACTACCCAGCACCGCCCGTGTCAGGCATAGCTCCGAAGTACCGCTAGCTACTGCTATAGGTACTGTTGTTTTTGCTTTGCCATGGTTTGGTAAGAATGTGAATACTTACAGCTTCTTCATTAAGCAGTACATCATTGTTGGAACCCTCAGCTCCATAAGTAGCATCATCATAGCTGGAACCACCAGCCTGCTCTTCCATATTTTGATCATAGTCTGGCTCCAATACCACATGTTTGATTTCTTCCTCCTTCTTGAAGAAAGACTCAATTCCTTTGGGTTTGTTGGGCTTCTTAGTGTTGTGATCTATGTCTAGCGGTAGTTGTTCATCATCAGGTATTTCCACAGGTTTGTGTATTGAGAAGAAGTCATTCTGTAGATCTTCACTATCACTTTCATCAGAATATTCATTCACCAGATGTGTGCTATCAACTTTGCATTTCTTAGGTGGTGTTGGTAAGGGGGCTTTTTTTACTGGAGCTTCTGGCTTTCTTTTGAGCACTTGGGGTATTAATGACACTGTAGTGGACTTCACTCCGTTTCTTGGCTGCGGTAGCATACTTAGCAAGCTAGACTTTTTCTGGAATAAGTTTAGAACATAAGTAGTGGAATTTTCACACTTCCATATTATGTATATTGTATAGATGTCTTTACTTACGTCTGCTGGTGCTCTTGGTTTAACAATAACTGGGCTATCTTTAACATCTTTAAACTGCAAGTACAAAAATACTATATTAATATTTAATATAGTTCAAATACATGAACTCATCAGTATAAATGGTAAACGCATACATCATTTAGTGAGGGTACTGTTATCCTGGCTTTAGGTTTCACAGCATTTGTTATTTCTTTCTTGTGTAAGAATTCATCATCTTCTTCAATGACTGCTGGTTTTTGTTTCGATGGTTGAGGTAAGAAGTTAAATAAGCTCAGTCTATTCTGTTCCGGGTCTAACTTTTGTTCATCCTCAATTGTCGTAACAGGCTTCGATACTGTTGGATCTGGAACTTTATGATACTGTTTTATTATTTACGTCTAGTATATCGTGTGGAAATAGTAGGTCGTACCCCCCGATAATATTAAGGGAATCGTAAGGTCGTATATTGTAGTGTAAGTAACATCAAAGAAGATTGTTACCGTGCTTAATTTCAGTTTTGGTGTTCAGTAACGAAATTGCAGTATAATTATTGGTTTCCTCCTCATAGTCACTCGAGTCACTGTTTTCGTATGCGACTAAAGCCATTTTAAAGTAATTTAACTTTTTGAAGGTTTGAAGTAGGCATAAAAAAATATTTGGATTCACAGGTGTAACAATCACAAATAATTATAATACGACAACGACATTTATTTAGACATGAGTAGATCAACATTCAATATAATTCACGTCACATTGACACTTGATTCTTGACAGTGTGAAAAGCATGGAGGTGGATGAAACCTCCATGGTAAATAGTAATTTCATAGACTATTTGTCAGACGTCCATAGACATAAATATCTATTATTAGGAAACTTAAAAACTGTCATAGAGTTCACCTTACTCTTTGATATTAGTAACTTATTTGTTTTATACCACATTGGATTTTAGAAACTCAGGAGGCAGGAGAAATAAAGTGTACCACCATTACAATTCATGAATTCACCTTATATATTGTTAACATCGAAATCAAATTACAAATTCAGAACTAGCTAAACCATAATTATTAATTGGAAAGAAAAACAACAACAATAACACATGAATAGGCAAATTGACTTTCAAATAGAATAAAATTCCCTCAACACCAAATACGCAGTCTCAATAATTTCCGAGTTCCCGCCATCTTGACTTTTTCATTGTTCGAACCACAGATTATATTTTCCCGCTACGCGATGACATTTCGTTCCTTTTTGTCTATGCTTCTAACACGGCCTCTCCTGACTGGAGCACGTCCTCGTGCTCCTGTGTCGCACTGTCGCATATTTACAGCACACGCTCCGTAGCAGGGACATCACCGCGGCTTCTGGCAGCTTGTTCAGCTGTGAACTCTATACTGTTTGCATCTGAGAACATAAGAATTGGATCGGGACGACGGTGGTTACCGGCGGTCACATCGATCCATATTAAATCGTTAGCGCAGGTCACAAAAAAAATAGCCAGAGAGGAGGCACAACATTAGCTATCTCGGTTAATATGGACCACATGATAGGCATCATATTACCGTATCACATGATCCATGGAAACAACATAATCATCACTTGAGAACATAAGGATTGGGTCGGGACACCGGTTTTTTCCGAAGACACATCGACCCATATTAAATCGTTAATCTTACCAATTACCAAAAACGTGACGTGTGAGTTCAATACCTTCTGCACCTGAAATTATAAAAACTGCATCGGGATGTCGTTGGTTACCGACACAAACAACTACATGTACACATTGATCCATAATAATTCAAAGTACAGGCAGAGAGGAAGCACTACGTTAGCTATCTCTACTATAACAACTACATGACAGGCACAACGTTAGCATATCATAAGTCACCAACACAGTAAAGTAATCAATAGTGAACTAGAGGCAAGACGTTAGCGTAGCTCACAATCATAAAACATACTCAGAGAGGAAGCACTACGTTAGCTATCTCTGCTATAACGACTACACGACATAGGCACGACGTTAGCATAGTTCACAATCATAAAACATACTCAGAGAGGAAGCACTACGTTAGCTATCTCTGCTATAACGACTACACGACATAGGCACGACGTTAGCATAGTTCACAATCATAAAACATACTCAGAGAGGAAGCACTACGTTAGCTATCTCTGCTATAACGACTACATGACATAGGCACGACGTTAGTGTATCATGAGTCACGAACACAGGAAAAACACAATCAATAGTGAACCATAGGCACGACGTTAGCATAGTTCACGATCATAAAACATACTCAGAGAGGAAGCACTACGTTAGCTATCTCTGCTATAACGACTACATGACATAGGCACGACGTTAGCGTATCATGAGTCACGAACACAGGAAAAAAACACAATCAATAGTGAACCATAGGCACGACGTTAGCATAGTTCACAATCATAAAACATACTCAGAGAGGAAGCACTACGTTAGCTATCTCTGCTATAACGACTACATGACATAGGCACGACGTTAGCGTATCATGAGTCACGAACACAGGAAAAAAACACAATTAATAGTGAACCATAGGCACGACGTTAGCATAGTTCACAATCATAAAACATACTCAGAGAGGAAGCACGACGTTAGCTACCTCTGCTATAACGACTACATGACATAGGCACGGCGTTGGCATATCATGAGTCTCTAACACATGTGTAATAATTAATACCTACGTTAGCATATTATTCACACGCACATTAAGGTAGATGTACCATATTACGTAAGTGTACGTAATTCCGTAAATTTTCAGTTTAGGCCTAAAAATAAGAAAACTTGTAGTTGTATCAAAAAGTTATAAAATTATCTATTAAGTATGTAAAATAGAGCGTCAATTACATACGTTAAAAAGAACTGTAACCATCTTCGGCTCAGTTGTCACGTCCCCCTCGGTCAGTCTGCGCCAAACCGCCATAAAGGTAGTGTGTGTGTTGCGTACGCGTTAGCTACCGCGCGGATTTTCATAAGGATATTGCGAGTGATATGTAAGTATTTTCATAACTTTGTAATGTTATTATTTTTAAGAATTTTAAAACTAACTAATTGGTTACCGTTTCTAGTTACTTCATTTAGTTTTAAGCGAGTTAATTGAAATTTTCTGATTGCCGCAATTACCTACACCAAAAACCAACCGTGTACATTATTACGTAACAATTACGGAATAGAGGAAAGAAAGGCGATTTTGTTTTTTGTAATTTGTCAGGAATGAGATGGGATAAGTAAACGATAAACGCTGTTACAGGTCTAATATATAACATAGTTTCTTGGAATCAAATTACGTATTACGATTTTATTTCTCTATGTTATGAAATACGTGTGTAAAGAGAAAACATTTTTTGTACTTTAAACAGATTCGTCACAAGTGACATCGGTACATAATCATTAATTTGTTTAATTTTATTGTATTTTCTAGTATATTTTTTGATACCTATTACTAGCATGATTGCATTCCTATACAATTCAAGTCATTTTATGTTGTCAAGAAGAGTTACTCGTTAGAAATTTATGTTAAACTGACTACCGCAATTACCTACACTGTTTTTGGCTGAGTCTCTTATTACGGTATAAAAGTACCAGAGTGAGCTACTGCATTTTAATTTTTTACAGGTCAAAATGTCAAACAAAAAGTACTCCAACGAGGACCTTGCCAAAGCTTTAGAGGATATAAATGATGGAACTATGACCATATATCGTGCATCGAAGGTATATAACATACCCAACCAGACCTTGCATGATAAAATTAAGAAAAAGTACACAAAACAAGAGTCAGCAGGAGCTCCAACAGTCCTGTCATCGACAGAAGAAGGTTTGTTGGTAAAATGGGTACTGCACATGGCCGAAATTGGATTTCCAGTAACTAAAGACCAACTGTTACACTCAGTAGCTAAATTACTTATAGGGTTGAAACGACAAAATCCATTCAAGGACGGAGTCCCTGGCAGACATTGGTACGAGGCCTTTCTGAAAAGAAACCCAATGATAAGCAAGAGAGTATGTCAAGCATTGACTACTGCCCGTGTAAACGCTACTGAAGAAAAAATAAGGGGCTGGTTTCAACGAGTCCGAACATATTTCGAAGACAACAATCTCATGGCTGTGTTGGAAGACCCTGCACGCGTGTTCAACTGCGATGAGTCTGCCTTCTTTTTGTGTCCGAAAGGTCAACCAGTCCTTGCTAGAAAAGGGGTGAAAAATGTTCATTGCCGATCTGGTAATGATGATAAAGAAAATCTAACGCTCTGTCTCGGCGCGTCAGCTGACGGGAAACTAATGCCGGTATTAGCATTATTTCCATATAAAAGGATACCACAAAATATATTGTTGAAATATCCAAAGGATTGGGCCATCGGACGTACTGACTCGGGATGGATGACATCAGAGGCATTTTATGAGTACGTGGCTAATCAATTTGAGCCATTTTTGACGAAAGAAAATATTACAAGACCTGTAGCTTTGTTCCTAGATGGACACGTCTCTCATCTATCGCTCCCAGTATGCGAATTTTGTAAAGAAAAAAACATTATTCTGATAGCTCTGTTGCCTAGCGCCACACATGCTTTACAACCCATGGACGTTGCCGTATTTCACAGCCTCAAAAACGCTTGGAGTAAAGCAGTACATACATGGAGGATGGACAATAATGGCAGACGCTTGAAGCGAGAAGATTTTGGTCCCGTGCTTGAAAATGCCATCAAAACGACCCTACGACCAGAAATTATTCAAAATGGTTTTCGAAAGGCCGGCTTGTATCCCTTCGACGAAAATGCAGTTGATTATAAAAAAATACCTAAATCTTCTGCGGCAACTGCGTCAAGTTCTGGCACAAGTACACCTACAAGTTTGAACTCTTTTGAAAGCAGCAAGCAGTTACAATCTAAAGATTTTATTAAGTGGTTCGAGATGAATTTAGATGCTCATAAATTAAATGAGTTCCGGCAATGTTCTGGAGAATGGACAGGCAATGTAAAAGACGACAGTCTGTACTATTTCTGGAAGCAGACCTGCACGAGCCATACATCAACACCAGATTCAATGAGTGTAGGCAACACCACTCTTGAGGAAAATGACTGTACGTTAGCCGATCTTGACCTTAATTGGATCAATGAAGACACGATAGTTGAATCGGTTCTTCTTAACGAAATAACTTTGACCAGTGCTTTACCCTGTTCAACTCCTGAAAGTCCAAGTATTATTGAGACCATTACATTTCAAGAGACGCAACAAGAGTTGGTAACAAATTCTAAAGCGGCAGGTGATTTGCTAGATGGTTCAAGCAATATAATCGGTAATATATCGAAAATATCCGAGCAGGATAACGTTAGTAATGTTCCCGTAATAATAGTACCGCCCCCAGAAACTATACTTCTCGCACAAGAAGTTATTCTGGAAAAATCCTCAGTTGCCATACTACAAAATGACCTTGGTGATGTTCCTACAATCATACCTCCCGAAGAAAAAGTCGCAAATACAGACAACGATAAATTATTTAAGCCATCGGGAACATTACCAACCAATAATTCAAATTTTTCTGTGACTACGCCAGTTCCTCAAGAAAGATTCTCACCACCTA